CGTTGCCGAAAAGTCTAATAACGTCGCAGACTTGGCGAACTCGCCATCAACTACCAACGATTACTATATTTGTGTAGTGGTCCCGTAAAAGAAAAACTCAAGAAAAGCGTTACATAAACGGTTGGAAATATGAATCAGTGAAAATGATACGAGGGGGAATAGCTGAGCAAAATGTGGTAACACTGATAACTCGTTAAACGCGATTGGGACTAGATAACACGAAATCACACGAGAGAGAGAGAGAGAGGGCGACAGTAGAGTAAAAGAGAGTAGGTTGGGGTCATTCTCCGGCCCTGACCTCCACGAGGTATATCACATGATCCAGCCGTTAATGGCTTCGTTTCGGCTCTGTCAATGCCAGTGTTAGCAGTTGACCTAGAGGTCACGAATTTTTTGGCGTCGTTGTTTTCTAAATGTTTCGTCACTATGTCAAGTGCATGTGCATGAAGTCTATCGGAGCTATGGTTGAGAACAAACCGTCTTTGAGTACGACTAGACGACGTTCCAACTATTTTACGCCCGTTCTCGTTTCTACCGGCATTCCAATAGTTACGTTACCTGAATAAGCTGGGTAATTCTGCGCTCCTTCAAGAAAACTACTAAGAAAGCCGCATAACTCTACCAAATACGGGATCACTCGTTTAGATCGTCCTAGGACAAACTACCGTAAGGACATCGTCGGGTGAAGAAGAGGATGAATAAAAACGTCTGGAGACACTTACAAACTTCACATTCAATGTCATCCTGTTTGACAATGTTGTTAATTTTAACGAGGCTGGTGTTTCCGATGACATCAAGGATAGATGAGCCGATCAGGGGTTTCCGCTTGCTGGATAAGAAGAAATAAACAAAGGCATGTATGTGTTGGAGCTACGAAGGCGTTAATAAAAAGTACAAATTACGATAAAAACAAAGTCAACAAAAAGGCAATGCGTGTAATGGCAGCGTGAGGGTACGAAATAGTCCAAAATGCTGACCATTAGTTACTCCATGTTATTGCAATGTAAAAAAGTAACCTGCACAATACGCGGTAAAAAGATTATACTGCTAACACATTTTATATGCCCGAAATACAGGTCAAACTTAAGTGGTTTTACTGCAATACTATTACCTAGTCTAGTTCAGGATGAATAGAGTTTAAACGCAAAGGACGGGGAGGAAAGAGTTGCCGCGGTTATTCGTGAAACTCGAAAAATTGCCATCTGAAGTTATAAATATGCATAACAGTATGGTGATATAAGGAGTTTACAAATTCTTATTGATCTAGTGGGAGAAAGCAGCCTTCGTGACGAATGATACTTGGCTGCGTTGCCGCTGAAAAAAAGAGCTAGTTGTTGCAACGTTCTGAAAAACCCTTGGAGAAAATTGTGTGCGCCGTGCGCTGTCCACAGAACCAACGCGTATGCGTAAACCAGATAAACCATATTTTTTGCGCAAAAAATAGTGTTTGTCGGTCGGAAAATTGAGCAGAACTTACAATGGCTCGCAGTGGTGCGGTGAGACAGCATCTTTATTATTCGGGTCGAATGTGCATTTGCTGGGGCGGTCGGGACGGTTCCATCCAGAGTCTTCCATCTGCCGTGCGAAAGATAAAAGAAGGGTTATTTAGGCAGTTTGGCGTGGATTGTGGATTTGAATATGCTAATAAGGCTGGTGAATAAACTATTTGGCGTCATTCAGGGAAAAACGCCGAATTTGCAAAAAATATAGGCAGAGATTGGCTACGAACTCGCTCGTAAACTTGTACAGTGAAGGCGAACTATACAGCATACTTTACAAACAATACAAATAAATGCAAATGATTAACAAATGCGGTTATTTGCGAAATAATAATGTCTGGTCCCCCAGCTCGTCGTCAAGCAAATTAGAGTTGTCCGAAAACAGTTAATTCAAAACGTTGACTAACGCAAGATTCTATGGTGGGTCTGAGTCTAGGCTAATAGTCGTCACCTGCATTTAATCATTCGGTCAGAGGTGGCTGCTTATAGATCTGTCGGATTTTGAGAGAGTTGTACTTGATATCTAAATCAATATGCCTGTTAATGCGTGCCCCTTCTGAGCGCATTGCCTCCAGGAGCTCGCGG